CAATCCCATGTTTGGGAAACTAGATGTGGGATTTGAGGCACTGGCACGTCAGGGGTACATGTAAGATATTTGCTGCCGGCTTTGGGAAAAGAAGGCACTTGAAGGAGTGTGGACAGAGAACAGCTGAAGGATCATCCACACCACAGGGCAGCATGGAAATACCCAGAGGGCTTGATGGGAGGGAACCCAAATCTGCTATTAAGTGAAACAAAACATGATTAATATGTGGAATGCGCACATAATATGCATGTGTAACACTCCCCTCTGTATAAAATCCAACTACTAACACCCCCCATTTCATGTGTGTATGTCCTTCTTTGCATTATTATGGAGAAAATGTGGAAAGATACATACTAGGCAGTCAATATGGGCTACTTTAAAGGTGTACGTTTTTGGATAAAGTGGGGAATGTTATTACCACATCATTCTACACATAGGTGTGTGCATGTTTATTTGCATGCTTCTCTAATTATAGGGAGCACCTGTTTATTTGTAATTTAAAATCTCATAAAATCGTAAAGAAAATAGAATTAAGCGGATAACATTCACCTGCTTTGGGAAACACTACTTCATGTGGAAATAGGGATCAGTGAGGGCTGGCTTTGCTAATCCAAATTAGAAAGTGACTTTGCCATTCATGGGACTGTGGATTTACCTCTTGATGGTTCAACTAATAAAAAATAGAGGTAATGTTTTCATTTGGAAGAAAGGTGACATGTTTCTTCAGTCCCTATTTCTGCCTGGAGTCGTTTTTTGATAGTAAACACGCACTGTATGCATGGATAATAGAGCAGGGGCCTTTCAGGGGCCTCCAGACCACCCGCCCCGGGATGGGGAAGGCCGTGAGCAAGCCCACCAGCCCTGCCCCAGCTTTCACAAAACCCCTCTGTCAAGGGGTCAGCTGTGGGCGATTCAAAGCCAAACAATACTATTAAATTAATTAACATTATTTCAAAATTTACAAAGTAGCTAATGTAATTAATTAATTTAGTTGATGAAATGTTAATGTATTTAAGACAAAAATACTAATACTAAATGTTTTTCCATTTGGTACAAGGTGATCTGGCCTAGTTCTGCTTCGACTTGGTTCTTCTGCTAAAAAGTAGGCCCACTTTACACTCTGCAAGCCAGTGGTTCATTGGGACACATGAGAGGATGCATGATGTCCCGTGACACAGGCTGCATTGGGGTTTCACAGCAGGATAAGGTTGGGATGAGGGAGGAGCCTGCGGTCAGCTGGGGAGAAACCAGAGAATAGGATTAGGCTGTATGACATAGAGCTGTGAGTGGAAATCTTTCCCTTAATGCTTTCATGTCCTGGGTCATATTACCAGGATGATTCACTCAAGTGGTGGAAAACCCATTATGTAAAAGTGCATCTCAAAAAACAGATAACCTCAAGTAGGAATTATTTTCATTACAGAGAAATGCAGCAGGGTTCCCTTAAAAACCATCTCCCATACTGCATTTAAGGGTGTTATTTACAGATGATTAGCTATTTGGTTAGGCAGAGGGGCAATTTAAGTCTAAAACATCCAAGGCCAGTGAAAGATCCGTGGGGGGGGAAAAAAAAACCCCACAAACTCAGGAGTAATCATAGAAGTCAGTAAACACACAAGATCCAATTTACAAAAGTGTAATTTATGCACACCTTTCTTCAGGCACACGACTATTAGATAACCATGAGAAATATATGCATTTTCAAGTTAAAAAGCAGGTGCATCCCACAAGACTGCTGAGAAGTAAGGGACCCTCAGCTTTGGGGGAGGATGGGTCCTTAGCAAAAAGAGGCCACACCACCTCAGGGACAAGAGATGTGTCTTTCAGCCACGTGCATGTCAGACCCGTACAGGAGATGAACCTCGGTGGCCGTGTGCATGCCCCTGATGTATGTGTGTGTGCGTGTGTGTGTGAGAGCGCGCACGTGCAAAAATGACCCTCTACCTGCTGGTGGGATTGTTTCTGGCACATAAGGTGTGACTTTCCAATGGAATATACACCTTCATCTGGAAGAGAAAACCTAAGTGATGTTTCAAAGAAGCCAGCTGACAGCAAACAGTTGAGCCCCAAAAGGTATCACTCACTTGGAGAACAAAAGCAGAAAGGCTCAGCAATGTGGCTCAGGGAGGAACGGATAATCTTTACACTCAGCACGCACTGTGGCCTCAAGATGGAAGTAATCTACGGTCCCTCTGCTGACCCAGGTGGGGAAGGAGAAGCCTCAGAGCTGGCTGTCCATACAAAACACTCATGGAGCTTGTCCGTCTGGATACTGCTGCTGAAGGGATCGGCAAGTGAAGATTCTCACTGTAAGAAACTAGCTTTTTATTTTGTTTTGTTATGGGGTAGCGCCCTTAACTACTTATTCGTTGCTTTCTTCAACACTACTATGTATAGGGACATTTCTTTAATATTTCTGAAGAATCCCTATCAACAAAGGGGGGGTAGCTTAAAATATAATAGTGCGAAACGATAGAATATTATGAGGCCATTAACATACTTTCATAAAGCACACATGACATGATAGTACTTAAGTGAAAATAATAGGATGAAAAATGTGTAGATACTATGATTATGCAATTTAGAAGGGAAGGGTGTTGGACACACATTACATGGCCTCAATAATTATTATAAATTTTTACTTTTAAATTTGGGGGGAAAAGTATAACCACTGAAGTGATATTGTCGTTTTGTATTTGCAGTAATACAATGGACCCTTTATATCTGAGAGCAACACACTTTTCCTGTAAAGAGCGAGAATGACAATATGATAGGCTTCGCAGGCCACCTCCATCTCTGTCACATGCTGTTTGTCTTTTGTTTGTTGGTTTGTTTCTACAATCCTTCGAGAACTCTACGAGGGATCTTAGCTCGCAAGCTTTACAAAAACAGACTGTGGGCTGGATTTGGCTCCTGGGCTATAGTTTGCCAATCCCTATCTCTACTGTATGCTTCCCCTATTTTAATATGAAGAATTCGCGATAGATTTCCATGTTTGATATGATGATACACACTTTCCCCCAATGCCACCTTAAAATGGCTATACCCATTCAAACCAGCCCTTTTTTGGGGGGAATTAATTTGTTTTGCTCACTTCTAGAAATGCCTATTTTTCATATGATCATTGAGAGCCAGGTTTTCCAATATGGTAACCATGTGCCCCAGGTGGGTAATTAAGAGTAACAGTAGTCAAAATTAAATTGAATAAAAAAGGTCAGCGCCTCTGTCCCACGATTCCATGTACTGGACAGCGCAGATATGGAATATTTCATCTTACACAGTTCTATAGGACAATGTTGTTTTACTGAATAAAACGAAACTCTCTGGAACTCAACTGTGGTTACGTTTTGGATCGCCAACGCTCCTTCGGAAAATAACGTTTATAGAGAAGGTAGGGGACAGAGACAAGGGGATGATGATGATAGGGTCCAAAGGAACCCTAAAAGCAGTCAGAAGTTGAATAATTTCCCAGGTTCAAAGAACAAATCTACCACATGGCGGCCGTGCGATCCTGGGTTATCACTCTGCATCAGTGGCCCCCATTCCTCTGCTGTAAAGCAAACATTATAATACCTACCTGGTGCAGATTGTGAGGATGACACAATGGTGAGCATGTGAAGCTGAGTACTAGCGCCCTAATTCTATCGGATACATGCGTACACATTAACCCCACCCAAAGGGGGCAATTTCTATACGGTTAGAAAGAACCACTTCTTGCCAGATGGTTAGATTCTGGCTTTTTGGGGACATAGGAGCATACCCTGAATGTAATGCATGCCCAACCTGCTCCTGAAGATGCTGTGCTGGTTGGGAAGGACGGCTGGCTGCCCCCATAACCTGGTACCTTCAGAAACCCTCAGGATTGTCACAGTCACATCTTTGGTTTTTTGGTGACTGCTTCGAACCTGTGCCCCACAGCAAAGAGTTTGGTTTTTCTGAGCCTTTGGGAATGGAGGTGCTTGATCCTGGCACTCGGGGAGGATTCCCCTCTGTCTCTCATCCTCCTAATCATCACCCCCCTTCCTAGCTGGTCTCTAGCAGCCCACCTTCTCCAACCCCACACCCACTTTTGAGCACTGACCCCAATGAGGACCAATTTAGTAGTTATGGGGATTTCACAGAAGGTCTCAGCTGTGGATGGGGGTCTTCCCGAGGAGGGGCAAACCAGCTGGGGGCACCATGATGGAATCCACAAGAACTGTAATTGTTCAACCTGGTCTGGGGACCTGGGAACTGGGGTGAGGGCGGGTCATTTGCCCCCCTTGGAGCATCCATCCCAGGCAGAGACATCCTTGGTCTTTCCATGTCAACACCACAATCTATCTTCCATGTTTATTTTTGATCTTCTTCCCCTACCACTTGAGGGCTACATTTGTATCTATTAAAGTGCCTTTTATTGTCATCCTCCCCCGACACAGTTAAATTGGGGGCTGGGGGGAGACCCTCATTTTCCTCTCTGCTGAGAATGGAATCACATAGCAAAGGGCAGAACAGCCTTGCAAACAAGTGGTTATTTCCCGCAGTGAGAACACAGGTGCTCAAGCGTAACAATGAAGCACCTTTTGCTGGGTGAGGGTGCCACATGGATGGCCTGCATATTTTATGTCGGTTGTTTCCACGTTAATTTGCAAAGCCGTGATAGAAGGCAGGCAGTGAGCTCTAGCTCCAACCTCCCCCCCCTCCCCCCCATCCCTGTGTCCCCCCCCCCACACACACCAATGCCTCAGGTCCCATCCATTGGACCCGATCCTGCCGGGTCTCAACATAGGATGACCAGGACATCTGAGAAGTGAGTGTTCAGACGTAATGAGCGAAGGGGTTGGATGCTAAGGTGACAGGGAACACACAGAGACATGCTTATGAGAACCAACTTCACCTTGTGGAGGGCGCGGGGAGGGTGGAGCAGAGAGGGAAGGGAAGGAGAACTTACATGGCAGGGAAGGCGAGTGGACTCAGATTTATGTCACAAAACAAAAAGAGAGCCACAACAGCGGGCTTACTTGCGGAAGTATATACAAGTGAACTGGGGGCACTGTACATGGAAGATCCCTCCTGGTTTGCCTGGCACAACAGCACGGTGCCTACGAAAGAGAGAAAGATAGATGGTATCTGGTTTGGGAACAGGCACACGACACCTGAGAGATCAGGCGATGCAAACGAGAAAGGCAGAGAAATGACAACATAGCCACATCCCCGTGCACAGGGTGGGGACACCCGTGGAAGCCCCCTGTCTTAGCCGAAGGGGACTGGAAGCCCACCCTCCAGCCCTCCAAGCACATGTCACTCCTTGTCACCTGGGGTTTCCGTAGCGGGGGTCTGGCTGGCCCCCGGACCCAGGGGATGGTGGCAGCATGGCATACTGCATACTCAAAAGGGAGCTTGGGCAATATCAGAGAGAGCTAGATGACAAGCCTGGCTCTGATGCCACTTAGCTGTGTGATCTCGGTAAGTCACTATACCTCTCTGTGCCTTGGGATTCACATCTGGAAAATGGGGTGAACATACCTACCTCCAGGAAGGTTGTGAACTGTGTGGCTAGACCTGTGCCCAACACAGGGCCTGGCGTGTAGTCATCGGTGGGTAAAGGGTGAGCACATGCACTGACTGCTATGGTGGGAGCAACCTTCTCCGCCCCCCCCCCGCCCCCCCAGACTGGCTGAGTCAGTTCTTCAGGGGAAGAACAGAAATACAGCAGGGAAGAAATGAGCGCCACTTCCACCTTCCGCATGACCCACCCTGGGGCCCACGCTGGCCTTGGGGTGAGATAGTCCTTGGGCTTCTGCGTTTCTCATTTCTTCCCGAAAGTTCTCGGCTCTCGGGCCAGAGAGGCCGCCTCCCCAAGCCTGCACTGCAGAGCCGCCTGTCCTCTGCCTGATTTAAAGCAAAGGGCACCGGGCTGATCCTGGCACAATGGAATTTTCCAGCGGGAGGGAACGGCGCAATCCTGAGATATCTCCCCAATCCGTGATGTGTTTTGAACAACCGCCCACTCCAAGGATGAGCAGGGTCAGGAATCCTCAGGGTGTCAGCCCTCTCTCTCCTGCTGCTACAGAGCTCACAGTCAGACTTTGAAAAGAATGGGAGAGACTTCTGGGGAGTGGTCAGCCCATTACCGATGATGGAAACATGCTCCCGTGGTTCCTGCTCACTTGCCTCCATGTGGCTTGGGGTCCCCCTGCCATCACCCAACTGGAGGGCCTCCCCCGTGAGAAGACGCCTGCCTCGCCGTGAGCTCACCTCCTCGCACACCTGGCCCAGTGCCTGCTAAGTAAGGGGTTCGACAACCTTCGGGAGCTTTCCCAAGGTCAACAGAAGTGTAGTTAAAAGTTGCAGAGCGAGTGGGGGTCCGCACAGAGAGGGTGCGCCATGGGAACCATTAAGACATAGCCAACTTCCCTGAACTCAAAAAACAAACACGGTTCCAGAGCTGGCTCCCCTCCATGACCACTGCTCCCCATCCCTCAGGGGCAGAGCAAGAATAGATGGATCCAATGAGGAGGGCTGAGGAGCTTCCTGAGAATTCCACTTGTACCCTCTCTTCCCTGTGTTTCCCTGGACTTTGCTCATTATTATTTCCGGGAAAAGCAAAGATGTAGGAAAATCCCTAAGTGCCTCCCCCCCACCCCCATCACCAACTCAGGCACCTCCCTCCATTCTCTGACAAGGAGAGGCAGCCCAGGGACAGGAGTTCCATCTGGAGGAATGTCCCCTCGTCCTTGTAATATCTACCCTGGTTTCCTCCGCCTGTAGCTGGAGAAGAGTCCCCACAAAAGCCTGGATATAAGAGTGGAGTTGACTGGCCTTCTCTTGGCCGTAAATGGATTCAGAGTCTGGTTGGGTCTGAGTCATGATCAACCTTTGCTAAACAGAGGGTTCTTTCTTCTTTCTAGTTTATTTGAGAAGTTTATCCCAACATATAAGGTGGGACATTACGTGGTCTAATTTCTTCTCAGTGAGTGAGTATTTCTGGTTTTGGCAAGAAACTGGTATTATCGTATGGTAATAACCAGCAAACAATATGAACAGCAGACCATGGGGTGTGGGGTCTGAAATCACCTGATGGGGGGTGACACCCACCTGAAGGACATGCCCTGACCCCCACTTTGCTTCATCAACGAGTACTTAGTCTGACTTTGCAGAGACCATTCATCCCTATGTTCTTGCTCACCCCTACGGCCTTAGATAGAAACGGATGTTTCCATAGGAGGTGCAGAGAGCTGCCAAATCAGCATCTTCTAGGGTGGGACCTGTGAGGAAATGCCATGAGTTTCTCATGTCCACCCCTGGTTAAAAGCCACTGTTAAAGTGAAATCTGAAGTTTCTTGGGGGTGCCTTGGTTTCAAAGGAAATATAGCGTAGTTGTAGCAAAAATATATCCAGAAGGACATTTCAACATTGTGCAGTTAAAACCTTGGGGTCAATTTTCAGCATTCTCAATGCAATTTAGAGAATCCCATTGGGACACAACACAGATTCCCTCTAGAAAGCTAAATCCTGGCAGGGCATAATGAAGCTTTCCTAATGCTCTTACGCCGTAGATCCTGGGAAACTGTATTGAAATAACTTCTTTGGATGCCCTCTTGGTAGTGAAAAAAAATTCTTTATGCAATAATTTTGACCTTTGTAAAACAAAATCTATACTGTCACAGGACTTGCTTTTTATTTTACCTAAAAAACATCCTCTAATTTAATTTGCAAAGTACTTATTGTATGTTCTCTTAGTACATTGTGACCTTTTCTTAAAAGAAAGCTTTGAATTAAAGAGAAAGAGGCAGAGAAGAATACCGTAACCTCCATGCATTTTTCTAGGGGGCGGGGGGGGGGGCAAGTCATGTGTATTTGTTTAAAAAAGTAAGTCAAATAGATAATCAGGTACAAGCAGCAGCATGAGGAGTGTTTACAAGGTCCTTCAAGGCACCTTGTGATGTAGCTTTCTAACGAGTACCTTGTGTTTTCTATTCATGCACCATCCTCCCAACATAAACCCTTTGCCTCCAGCTACTACGACCTGTCTGCCACCGTGGGGACACCCTATCCTTCTCAGACTTCTGAGCCTTGGCTTATAAAGCAATTTTACTAGAAAATCCAGTTACTCGAACATCCAGGCTTTTGTGGGAGGAGGGGAAGGGGGGCCTTCCTCCTTATAATTTAAAGATGGCAACTGTGTTCAATTTATACCACTAGCCACCACCATTCCGTAGCCAGGACAGACCATTCACCAATTTCCACAGCGTCCTTTCCTATCATCCTGGAATCCTCAGAATCATTCTTAACACAGCTTCTAGGCAGTTGCTACCGTTTGATTAGAATTGGTGGATGGGATGAAACCTCTGTGCCCTTCCTGCTCCTACTGTGAGGTTAAACTGTAGGAAAGTGACCTCTTTATGTCAAATAGGATTGAACACTGGGAATTTCATGGGGTTTAATTAAAAAAAAAAAAGGCCTCATCGCAATTCCTACTGTGTCATTTAAAAGTTGTTTTTTTCCCCAGCCCCCAGGAGTTAATGGATCACAATTAAAAAAAAAAAAAATCTTGCTTGGTGTGCCTGGGTGGCTCAGTCATTGAGTTAAGCTTCTAACTCTTGATCCTGGCTCAGGTCTTGATCTCAGAGTTGTGAGTTCAATCCCCGCGCTGAGTGCCACCCTGGGTGTGGAGCCCATTTACATAAAACAAAACAAAACAAAACAAAACCCTCCCTACTAGATCCCTTGTCATGCTGTACTGAGACGTTTCATTTACATACTGGTCTTAGCCACAATGTGCACCCCTGGGTCAGAGCCAAACCATACTCATTTATTCTCAGCCCCGAGCAAAATACCTGACTCTCAAAGGATTAATGGAGATGATCAAATTATTGTTTTTAAAGACCTCTTCATTTCTGTTTCCTTGGCTAAAAATAGTGTTTTGTCCAACCAATCTTTCCTGAGGGCGCCTCCCTCGGCCCCTTGTCTATTGCTGGGGATGTGCATGCCTAAAGTCCAGGTGCAGTTTTGAGCCCTAGCTATGGGATTCACTTGTTTCCTCTTCTTCTCTGGTTCTTTTAAGGTTGACTCATCCAGCTTAACATGAAATCTGAGCAGCCCGTATCTGTGCCTGGCAGGAACTGGCTCTATGTGGCAGAGCGAAAACTTTGGAATAAGCAGAGCTTTTGCAAGGTCTGTCACCCTCACTCAATGATGCCACCAACATCAGCATCCCAAATTCCAGCACGGTGTCCACAGGGCCTCTCCTGGGCAGGATCAGAATCCTCCCGCTGAGAGAGGGTGAGCCAAGGTCCACGTTCAGATGGGGCAACCCGGCCTTTTCTTCTTGAGACTCCCCACAGCTCTGGGAATCATTTCTGGCCCCCTGAGAGGCAGGGAGAAGCCTCAAAGGGGTGATTCCCATCACAGACAGAGAAGGGGAAGCATCTAAACTTTGTACGCTGCTGCTAGCTCCTAGGTGAGGAAATTGGACTCAATCCAACTGGAACCACAGTGCGTTTTCACACCTCTGCCTTTATAGAAGATAATTCTTCTCCCTGGAAGCCCTGCCCCTCCCCCTAAGTAATTCCCTTCCCGACGACTCAGCTCTGGCTTCTCCTAGAAACCATATCTATTTGCCCCCACCTGCCAAATTCAGCTTCCTTCCTCTGCTTTCCTAACTTGTGTTGTAGTGCTCTATCTAATGAGCGTTTTCCTGTGGATGCTGTGAACTTCAAGAGGTCAGGAGTCACGTCTCTGTCCTCCTTCATCACCAGAGACCCATGAGAGGCAGGGGAGGGACCTGACAAGAGGAACCACGGGGTTTTGGACAGGCAGTCCTATTGCACTTGCAAGAAATAAAATTAGAATGGAGGAGCGAAAGGAAGAAGAGAAAGGCTCTTTTGAAAAATGTCTGTCCTTCCATTTTAGTATCAAATAGGCAGAGCTTCAGGGCAGCCCTGGGTAAATGACTAGGCCTATGCTGTATTTTCTGAATTCAGAAAAAAAAAAAAAAAAAGGGAAAAGGAAAAAAAATGTCAAAGAAACACCCCAACTGCAACTGGGAGTGGCTGACTCACTTCATTGGCTCCAAGATGAAGATGAGTTAGAACACTTG